GTCCGATCCTTTTTTGGTTTCGTAAAATACCTTTTTTTTTTACAGTGTAGTGATCGCTTCCTGTCTAGTCTCGTTCGATAGAGCTTTTTCTGTATTCGGCAACCTTTTCTTTGGGTTTCCGAATGAGTATTTGAGGTTTCACTATGATGGACTGTCAGGATACGCCATCTATATACAGATGGACGATCCTCCTCTTTCTTCTTTCTCGTTTCACTTCTTTTCTTCTCCCTCTTGTTACTTCTCTTCTTCTCTTTCGGAGAGTTGTTGTTGTTTTTTCTATCTCATAGTCGGACGTGTTTATTTTTTGTATACACTTACTTTTTTTCAGTCATCGTTCATCTCGTTCAGATCGCGTAGTTCGATCTTTTCCTTTTTTCTTGTTTATCAACGCTTAGGATTCTTCCTTGTCTCTTTGATTTTTATAGTAAACTACAAGAAGAACCTAACATGGACATTATGGGTTTCCGAGGTTTCGGAAACCCTTCTTCGGAAACCCTTAAAAGGTTCCCTATAGTAACAAACTCGAAAATCCTTAGAGGGTCTCCGAGGATACCTATTTTTTTAGAGTGTACGCTAAAGAAGATCCGGCCTTGTTTTTGCCAGTATCTTCTGCCTCAGAGTCATTCGGAAGCAGAATCATAGAATTAATTCCCCTGAAAATCCCGCAAATATGGAATGAATTTCACCAAATAGAAATAGTATACTAATCCAAACAATAGACCTAACTGGAAGCGTAAAATAACTTCTTCACCAATTGTGAGGTTCTCGGTCCAGACGAGGAGAGCAGCTATCTAATGAGAGGACCTATGTTTTTATTCCTTCTTAGATATCAACTAGTTAGTTGTTCCCAATCAAAGAAAGTAATATTTTATTACCTGGATGTTTCATTAATAATGACCACAACAAAAACTAGACCAGAGAGAAAACAAAAAACGATGATGACGATGTTTCTTTTTGGGAGGAATAGAGAAAAGAGAGAGAGAGAGAGAGAGAGAGAGAGAGAAGAAGAAGACACATAACTACGCAAAAAAAGGATATGATGTAACATATGATATTTGTTGACGTGACAAGGCGACGTCTGTCGACACTAACAAAAAGTCAATCGGTAGAAACACAAAATTATTGCTGAGGTTTATCTTTGACAACTTCGAATATCAGATCCCACCATATTGCCGTTTCACTCGTCTGTTCATCGAAATAATGGTAGGCATCATCAGCTTGTTTCCAATCGCTGTTATGTGGTACGGGTCGTTTACCATCATCTTCTTGTTCTTTTGTTTTCCCTTTGTATTTCCACCAACAATCATTAAATAAAGCTGTTATAGGCTCAACATATTCTTCACACATAGGACATTTGCTGGCGGCGTCAGAATCGCGAAGGAGATCGAATAGGCCGTAACCGATGGGAATAATAACCTTTTGATCGTAAGCCTCACATCCAGACTTTGTGCATTTACCTTCGAGACACTTACCAGACCGAGCTTGTCGCCATTTTTGACCTGTTGTAGACCATGCAACTCGTTTTGATTCTTCACTCTCGCGAATATCCACAAACTTCATTCGAAGAGGGCCAGTATCACTGGCATCACTCGAAGGATTGATTAATGCTAGTACAGAATCTTCCTTCATGATAAATCTATAATTAGAGAACAATAGCTGCGAAGGAAAAATCATCAGGTGTAAAGTTGTTAGTTGCCTTGTTGCTTTCATTATTCAATAGGTCCTGATGATTGAGTGTGAGGATGAGAGTGAGAATGAATGAATGGAACAACCATAAAAAAAAGTCAATTTTTTTTCCGAGAAATGTTTTAACTACATCATTTTCTAAATGTTTGCGTTTCGGATAGAGTGAATCTGTATTATGCTCGGCAAATCTTAAAGTTTGATCTGAGCTTTTGATTGTGTAGGAGGAGAGGTTGTATAGTTTTGAATGATGTGCGTTCTAAGTAAGTTATCGCTTCTGAAAATTCGAAAAATCCTACTAGCAAACGTTTTTTACATAGGGTGGTTTTCTGACAAACCTTGTGATTATCGGTTCGAATCAGACATCATTCGAATTGTCACAAGTTTTTACTACTTTAAGAGCATCATTTCGAAAACTCGAAGATATCATCCGATAGAGCTCACCAAGTTATACTCGGAGAGCTGGTGATCTCACTTAGAGAGCACTCATAGCCGAATCCTCTCACGAATAAATTGAACCCTGACCCGAGATGTTTTACGTTCCAGTAGAATTTTTTGAGGACGATACTAGACTTTACGTGACGACCAAACAAGAAAAAAGAGCAGTTGTTTCGCCCGTCTTTCTCCACGTGGACACCTTCAATATTTTATGAGAATCACAGTTTTTCACATTATCGATCTAGTGAACAAGGAACTTTCAACAATCCTAAAGAAGGTTTAACAGGCGAAACCTTTAATTTTCCTGATCTAGTCTTTTCCGATTATAACTTCCATACTAACACATTCAACATGCGTAAGTACCACAAAACTCCTCATAGTTCAATAAACACACTACTTCCATCCCACAGGCATCAACAATGTTTATTTCATACTCACACCGATAGACATATCATAAGTTACCCTCATTCAATGAGACTTGAAAAAACTTCAACTATCAATCATGCTCCCATACCCATCGAAACAAACATATGATGAGTTATCCTAATTCATTTGCGATAAATATGAGCTCATTTATTGTTTCCTATTTCAGATACAATGTTCTCAATTAACCAATGATCAGAATATGAAGACTTTTTATTTTAACTGTATGTAACTAGAGCTGCATCTTAGAGGGTATGGACGATATATTTTTAGATATAACAATCTTGCGATGTGCTTATCCTCCGGGGGAAACGATTTGCGAACAATGAGCTGCAGCTGCGCTAAGTAAGTTTTGAAGTAATTGAAAACTTTCGAAGGATTTCAAATGGATTCATAATCACCTTCATTGGTGGATAAAAAGTATTTTTAGATCGCTAACCAACTTTTTGAGGGTTTTCGAACAGTTTTCTCGACTACGAGATGCGGCTTTAGAGGAGAATAAGAAATTCTTCAAGGATTTCCTATAGTAAAAATATGGAAAATCATTTATAAATTGCTAAGATTCGAATTCTTTTTAGAGTGTACCGACGAGTAAAAATGGTCAAAATTCAACGAGTCATTGCTTTGAGACAGAAAAAATTATCTGTTATATGTACCAAGTTTTTATTCGAATGAAATGTTACAATCACCTAATAGTCCGTGTTAGTACTCTGCATACGAGTCCGAAACCCGACTTCGACTCCGATTCTGTCGGAGTCAAAATGGCTTTGAGTAGCCACTCCGAAGTTAAGACTAGATTGATGCAAAATACTCGAAATTTTTCCTTTTTCTTGAATACAGATTTTATTCTCCATAGATTAAGTATTGTCGAAAAGAGTTTTTCTTCACAATTTCATGCATCTGATAAATGAGTGTTGTCAGATGGGAAAATAGTCGAAATGTACGACGAAAATAATTAAGATGTTGCAAGAATATCACCAAAAAACTTTTGGACTTTTTCGGAATCGAAGTCAGGGTCCTTGAGAGAAAACTATCGAATCGGAGTCGGAAGCGAAGTTGAGATCTTTGAAGTCGGAGTCGAGAGCAGATTTTTGAAAAAAAACTTCACAGAAAAACTCGGGTTCCGGAGTTGAAAATCTTGTCTCCACAGGGCACTCGTCTCTATACAAACCAAATTTGTTCTACTCAAGGCTGGTTTTTTCCATAAATGACATTAATCTCATTATTTATCAAATACAAGAATTCATGTTTATCTTTCGTGTGTTTTAATATCATTAGTATCTATATTGATGTGTTAGAAAAAAAACATACCTTGACCGTAAGAATATCGACAATAGAATACGACTACTTACTAGTCAGAATCGAACAATTCAGTTTCTAATGTGATACTACAAGCGATACTACTTTGTATTTATACTGCTTCGTAATTTTTCTTTTTCTCCAACATAGAATGTTTACCTAAATCAACCAAGTGTGACTGTTTTTTATGTGACAACTTGTTTTTTTGCATTAATGTTGGTAATTTCATCTATTGCACATGCTTGTCATATACTTTCTCTGTTATTTATTTTGGGTTTTTTCTTAGTGCAACT